AGAAAAAGACAACTATATACCTAGTCAGTATGGATGAACGAAGGGAATTTCGAAAGAAAGTCGTTGCTGGTTTTGAGTGTGTCACACAATAAGATCAAGATAACCAACGGCCAATTCACCGCCCTCAAGCACCAACGATTTTTCGAATTTGCAGAAAAAGTAATAGAAAGTCACGAAGGGGCCAAAAATCAGAGTAACGAAATTTCTATTTCTTTTCCTGGTTTCTATCAATTTCTGATAATTACACTATCCTATTCTAAGTTGCTGATGACGAACGGCAATGACTTTGACTTGAGAAACTGTGCAGGGCACGACCGATTCCACGGTCGATGTGATCAGGGGACACAACGAAGGTAAGTCAGCATCCAACCAGAAGCCAGCAATAATGCAGGGCAATCGAGGTGAGAGTGACTTATCTCCTCTTGCTGTTGCTGACGCCGATTGCCGTTCAATAATTAAAAATAATAAATATCAAACACTGCCTCATGTGAGGAACAAGCCCTCAAGGGGCCCTATCAAATATCACATGTTCTGGGCTAAGGCCCCCAGCAAGCCGAGTGCCCGCCCTAAGTGAAGGCAGGCCTGAATATCCGTCAGCGGCCAAAATTCGACATTTCCATATGTGGTTATTCAGGCTCTCGCAGCACGCCAGTTGGTTGCGTAGACGTGTGGGCCTTACTAAGCTGCGTCATACAGTTAGCCCAGGCCTTGACAGTCGCGCCTGGGCGCATACACAAAGCAGGGCCGATACATTGGGAAGCAGGCCATCGACCTTTGAAAAAGTATTGTCGACGCACCTGTCTGGGAGCCCTGCACAGATGCAGCAAACAGCCCAAGTCCGGAGACTCTTGCCGTGCCCAACTGAAAAGGGCCCAGGCCCTCAACTGTAGTCTCGGGCCTGGGCACAGGGTCTGAGGCCCAACCGGAAGCTACTGGAAGCTTCCAGCCAGGCCACACGCAACATCCAGGAGGCTGCCACTTCCATAAAAGAAGTGAGGCAGCCCAGGCCAGGCATTCTGGCCAGTGCAGGCAATGCGGAAGTGCTGCTGTGCTATCGCGTGATGCTGCGCTGACGGGGCGCGTAGTGGTGAGGTGGGGCGTTGCAGGGCACGGGGCGCAGGCAGCCATGGCCGGGTTGCTGGGCACCAGGGGGAAGGAGGGCGATCAGTTGGTCTTCAGGGAAGAAGGCGAGTGTGGGTAATCAAGGTCTGATTGAGGGTGATGAGATACGTACCTGGTGCATGAAGAGAGGTTGGCTGTGGTGTTGACAGTCATGTACATTGGTCTTCGAGAGTCGAAGTGAGCCTGTTGCGTGAACCAGCTGTAGGTAGGATAGTCGGGTAGAGTAGGCTGGGCGCGGGCGCCAGACATAGAGGAGTGATTTTGGATACTGTGTTGGTGTGGCCTATGGGCTTGAACATTGGCTCATTACTTCATTGTATTGCTCTATATGGATGGTTTCTCAGTGCATTTTGTACTCTCTGCTTGGACATCGACTACCTGGACATCTGTGTGATTTCATAACTTGGTTTTCTGTATATCGTTCACACTCATATTCCTTGCACTCGTCTGGTCACCTTCCTCAATATGTGTATCTACACCAGGCATGCAATCTGGCCTGGACACTACAGCTCTCGCTGTACCATCCACTAGATCACTACACATGGAAGGCCTTTCCCACACCAAGCCTTTCTCCAAATGCCACGTCAGCAACGGCCCTTGCCATGCCAGCATGGGATGCATGCCGCTTCAACAAAAGATGCATGCCACATCAACAGTAGGCAGGTACCACGTCGTGCCACATCAACACTTGCATCCCCTCGTAAGTGCTGATATTACTGCCACGTCAGAGCACCTCTCACCTGGCATGCCCGCCCATACAGCCTCTCCTCCATGCCAGACTTTTACTATAACTCCCCAGTAGTCGTTGTCACCAAAAGTAGCATGGCGAGGAGAGAAGATACTGCTCTGATACCAAATTGCAATGAAGTTGAATGAACACAATCTCGTTGAGAAGCGAATCAGCAATGTTACACAATCGTAACCCAGCGCTCAACGTGAAGTCTCCAACGATGATTGCAAGTCCATATCTATGCACATTTCAGTAGTAGTGAACCATCACAGAAGAGCAAGGCAGAAATGGATAGGGGAGAGAAAAGACAAAGGAGAGGGATAGAAAGCTAATAATGAATGATACAAGCATGTCGCTCTCCAACTCCCACTTCTTCTTCGGGCATCTTCAACCATGACCACCTCATCAATGCATGCTCTCCCTCTGACGATCACTGACATAGTTACTGTGCAGATTCCAGCAGAGTGCCCGTCCTCCTCTCACAGTCCAAGCCAAGCATTGGAGGATGGCGCGGTCCTTCCTCAAATCCTTGGAGACTGTCAGCAGCCAATCCCATTGGCGGCAGGTAAGTCCAGGTAGCTTTCCCTTTATCCTTTGATCAGTCTCACAGACTGGATCCTCCTCCTCTCCGAACTATGTGAGCTCTAGCTTTGGCGGCTATGGCCGCCCCACCATCACCTACAGTAAGGCTGGCACCCTCTCCCAGCGTCTGGCGCCAGCATCTCAGCACTCCAGCCTCGCGTGCAGCAACTTGGCCGTGAGCAACGACAAGGCAGAATGAATCTCCCCTCGGCCTGGCCTTCTTCTTATAGCACTGACTCGTGTTGACCAGCCTCCTACTGGACCGCGTCGACGGTCGAGATGTTCCTGAAGTCGATGGACTTGATGCATTGTTGACTCAGATGTGTCGAGTCCCTGTTGGAACTGAAATCTTCTGGAAGCCCGCAGACAACCTTCGATGTGCATTGACTTTGGGCCTGTTACTCCCGTGCTGGGTCTGACTCTTGATTTTCCAAGAGTCAAAGGTCTGGTGTGCAGGTACTGGATGCAGGTTTTGACTACGGGCCTGGCACCCCGTGACCCTAGGACTCGTTACAGGCCTTCTGAGACTCTGGACACGACTTTTGACACC